AGGTACCAGCGATGGATCGATGCTACTTGTACATTGGTATGTCAAAAGACAAAAGAAATCTTCACAACATCACGTATCTTAATAAAAACCAAGCCCAAGTTTAAAAAAGGGACCTTTGGGCGAGTTTCTATGTCACCCAGAGGACATGTTGTGTTTGTGAGCAGAAAAAAGAATACCGTGTTGCAACCTGCAATTTCAGACAGGCTCTAAGATATATTTACTCGTACATGCAGGACTGTGAGTTGCTAGAAGAGCACATTACCATCACCACCCGAACAACCCACCCTCATCTGGATAAATTCGTTAGAGATCAAACCCTCGTGCACACCCAAGAAGCCTTGCAAGGTAGCCCAGCCCACCGTTATTACCCTAACCCTAACCTCACTTGGACTACTAACACTACAGCAGCGTAGACAGCTAGCTCGCAAAACACTCATATACAAATCAATCAACAATCTCATAGCCATTCCCATATACAAATACATCACACTAAACACTCTCCCCACTCGGGGCCACTCCCTCCTATTGCTTAGTATACATTACCATCTAAGACGGAAGTACATAGGTCCATTTTCCCCCAGAACTGTGACTGAGTGGAACACCTTGCCTCCAAACCTAGTGGCAGCCACCACACTTAACCAGTTCAAGCGGGGTTTGGCCCAACACATGTGCCTCCCCAAACCCAGAGCAAGTATGACGGACAATCCCCAGTGTGGCCATCACTTTATCTTATTTTTTTCATCACCTACATTGTTGTATAGCTAGCTTGTTTGTTTGTTATTCACGGCACCACCACCACCGGTCGCACCTGGGCGAGCACCTCTTTTTTCCCTCAGCAGGATGTCCCTTGCGGGACTCTAGCTCAGTACCAAATAATATAAGAACTCCTCCTCGCTTCTTGAGCTGAGGCAGTTGCAGATATACGAACATATGGAGGTAATGATACGTGGTTTGTCAAGTTTGATGAGGAATACAAATTAATATATCACGCATGCAAAATTACAGATAAAATACCTCAACCACATTCTAAAGAGCGGAATTGCAGCCCAATATGCTCAACGTTAACATCGATCTGGCGAAGATATGAGATCTGAGACCTCTAGTTCTTTATTTGACGATGCCAAACCCCAGTTATCAATGAACTTGTATGCTATAAAGTGTATTCCATGAATGAACTAATGAGAGTCAAAATTCGTTAAAAAAGACAGGTACATATTAAAGTGGCATGTGAGTGAAAACTCCATTGAAACAAAAGTGGGTGATGTAGAAACGTTCGGTACATCACTTGCGATGTCAAGCAAAAAGATACGTTTATGATTTTATTGATTATAGTCTTCCACAAACATAGATAATATAAAGGCCTTAATGGATCTGAGCGGAGGTAATGATCTGAGCGGAGGTAATGATGTGACTACCAATGAAAACATATGAAAGAGAGAATTTGGGGGAAATGTGAATCTTGAAGTGGGAAAAAAGAGACACCCCGGACGCAAGAGAATGCCATTTTATCACGTTTATATGACATCTCACCTTTATCCTTCATATTTTTTAATGTAATATGGTGGCTACACATAAAAACATGTGACAGGGGTGTCACGTTATTTTCACCCTTACATAACATTTCACCTGATGATACCATCTCACGTGTGTACAACGTCCTTGTCCTATTTGCTCACAGTGCATAAAACCGTGCAAAAATAATTACATACACTTAACAATGCTCTACAGTCTGCACTCTGGCCACTATTGATCACCCCCCCAGGTTTCGAATAATTGGACAATTCTATATTGTCCACAGGACTTCACATTTTCTACAAATTTGAATATAAGGCTTTTCAGTTTTTTCTGTAGTCACACTATACTACATTATTGTCAGCTTTTCCATCTAATTCACGTAAATGTGCCATCTATAGACCTGTTAGTGGTGTTTGATGGAGATTCTCCAGGTGCATGTCTGTGTCAGCGGTAGACGCCACTTGTACATGGGTATGTCAAAAAGACAAAAGAAAATGTCACACCATCGTGTGCCCCACAGCTATTGGTTTCTTATATAAATCCTGTGACGCAAATGCAAATGAGGCAAATGTCGACGATATTATGAAAAATGGAGAGAGAACTCAAAAACCCACATGAAACCGTGCACAACTGAACAAAAACACTTTTGTCTCTGTAATTTATCTGACCACTGTAAATCATTTCGCTCCAAATTTCAGATAATTGCACGATTCTTGATTGTCCATAGAGTTTCATATTTTCTACAAATTCGACTATAACGCTTTTCAATCTTTACTGTAGTAACATTACATTACAGTGTTTTCAGTTTTCCATCAAATTCACATGTATAAATGTCCCATTTATACACCTGTTAGTGGTGTTTCATGGCTGGGGGTAAATGTACCAGCGATGGATGCTACTTGTACATTGGTATGTCAAAAGACAAAAGAAATTAGATCTTCACAACATCACGTATCTTAATAAAAACCAAGACCCAAGTTTAAAAAAAGGGGCCTTTGGGCGAGTTCTATGTCACCGCAGAGGACATG